GCTGGGTTTCTGAGGGTGATTATAATGTTATGGAAACGTGTGACGTTCTCTGCATTGCGTCACGTTCCCTGTGCCTCGCTGAGAAAGGGCTGGGGCAGCCCGGTGACATAGCCCTGTGACATAGCCCTGCTCGCCGCCCGGGCGTAGCCTTGCGGGAGTGTTTCTGGAATAAAACCCGCAAACGTTCGTGTTTGGGGTCGTCCGGCCCTCTGGCAGCGGCGTTTAAACACTGCCGGGAGGCCACAGCATTAAAACACGTTGTTTGTGTGGCATGTGGGAGACTCAGCCTGCTGCCTTGCCAGGAGCTTCCAGGGGAAGGTTGGGAATTCGGATTTTTAAGCAGGAACGTGTAACTTATACTGTTTGTTCCTTTAATTAAAAGGCTTCTTTCAAGGACAAGAAAAGCCTGACCTAGGACGGAGTCGGTGCACCCTTGAGGATGCTCTCAGTGTTTAGCTTGCGTTAGAAAGCTGCCTCAGGCCAAGCCAGACAGGGGTAAGCTTGTGCCTGGTGGGGACTTCTGGTCAGTGATCTCGCTGTGGTTTGTGGTGTCACTTCCTCTTGTCTGCGGCCACACATGTGGGAAAAATGCTGAGTGTGTAAGAAATTTAAACGGCTCTTCTCTCACTGCGTTGATACAGGGTTTTGTTGCAGAAAGCACCAGTTTTAGCATTTTAGGATACTGATTGGAAATCCCCTTACTTTTGCCATCTTGATTTAAATTGTCAAGAATTCTAATTAGTGAATATTAATAGGAGAAACTAATGATTATATTGGGAAAATAAGTCTCAAATGGAATAAATGATCAAATATAAAATAAAATCTGTATTGCCAATGCTGCTAGCATACTCCTGTAAAATTCCAGACCTAAGATATTCATTAACCAGTAATCTGTTAGTGGTTAGAAACAAGGCCAGTCTGTTGTAGTCCAGGATGTCTGCAAGACAGGATTTATGATGGTACCCGTTGTGTATAATCTTTGAATCACGACCAAAGCAGGTACGAGCCAAGAGCCTATGAGACAAGGACATGTTCCTTGACCAGACATGGTCAATTTGAGGAGTGGTCGAGACCTCCGACTCACGGACCACCCACCCAAATTATATCACCTACTCACAAGGGAACAATAGAAGACTATGACAGAGGTTGTGCGCTCATTTGCATCAGAAGCGAGAGAAGAAGAACCAATCATCGAGAGGATGACATTAAATATCCATTCTATAAACTAAATATGCATGAATTTAATATATAAATATTTGTTGGTTGCAATGTGCAGGCGGACATCTTTGGGAAGGATCCCATGTCCCCTGTGCTCACGGTGCGCATCGTTAATAAATCGATTATTATAATAATAATTAATAATCATCTCTACTTATCTAACTTGTGTAGATAAGTTTTTCTTGCCCACTGCAGGTTTGCAGCAGTTTGTTGTGGGGTTTTTTTGTTTAAGCAAATGACGAGCATCTGTTACAGAGGAAGAAGTGGTCAGTTTTATGCAAACTGCTAAAATTTTCCTTTTATTGTTTTTTTTTTTTAGATTATTTTTTCACTGCTAAAGAGAAACTGCAATGGAGAGTACGGTATCGGTCACTTTCCTTGTATCGTTTTCCGTACTCCTGTGTGAAAGTTACCATGGAGCGGAGATGGCTACTGTTGTGCATACATCGGAGAGAACTCTTCCAGAAAAGGCAGCTGGCGTTAATGTTGACTTAGCAGGATTAATACAGAAGTTTCACCTTCAAGAACTTTTTCACCGTTATGGAGAAAACAACTCTCTGTCAATCGATGGCTTTAGGAAACTGCTCCAGAACATAGGTATAGACAAAATGAAAAGGATTAAAATAGACCACGATCATGACCACGGCCATCACCTTCATCATAATCACGTTGCGTTGAGTAGAAACTCGGAGAAGACCGTTTGTCCAAACCGCGAGCCTGACGCTAACAAAGACCACAGGAACAGCCACTCCAAGGAGCGCCACAAAGCGGAGCACGCGGAGCACCAGCAGAACTTCGTCCGCAGCAAAAGCACCGCGAACGAAATAACGGCCTCTGTCCTGGCTGCGCCCACAGCCGGCCGCTCCGCCCCGCAGGACGGGCAGCCTGGAGAAGGCAGGGCCGCCGCTCGGGGGGGTCTGACCAGTTCCAGCACTGGGAATGTCACGGGGGGCAGCGACGCGAGCTGGCTGGCGAGCAGCAGAGCCAACGAGTCTCACGCTTCTCCGAAGGAATTGGGAAGAGGCAGTTACCTGTATTCTAAACTGAAAAACCAAAATGCCCAAGAGGTGAGGCTGGTTCTGTTGGGTTCTGGGGAATCCGGATCCACCGGGAATGTTGTTGTGGCTGCTTTGTCGGGCGCTTATCGCTTAGCTGGGTGCAAGCTTTGTGGTGCAACGCTACTCACAGCAAAGCACTCACGAACAGCTTTTCTTGAAACTTAACGTTTTTGTGTTATGGTCACGAGCTCAGAGGAAAAAATGTATGCAGTCTAGTTATTTTTAATTTTTCCTAAAAAGAGATATATATTTCTTTTGAGCATAAACATACACTTGGTTTTATGTATTTACTATTTATATATTATTTTAAATATTACTAAAAATGAAAAACACTTCAACTTTAAAACTTCTGCCTTAAAGCCAGAATCTGTCTTGTTTTCCTGATAATGTGGTGCAGGTAAAAAAACAAACAAACAAAAAAACCCAAACAAAACCAAAACCAACCAACCAAAAAAACTCCCCCAAAAAACCCAAACCAAAAACCAACCCAAAAAACTAGTTAAAATACTGTCATTCTTATCAAAGCTGCCTCACAAGCGTGAGATAATCCTATGACAGATAGTGTAGAACTGGCACCCTTCCTCCTTCACCAGCCTCCCTCCCCATCTTCTTTAAGACTGAGTGTAGAGACCAACTGTAAAATCGATTGCTGCGAGATGTTACCTATTACTTTAAAACAGTAAAAAACAGTGCTGATGAAGGCTATGGTCGTGTTGTAGGTGGGTTTTGTACCCAGGGGGGTCCTTCTCCGTTAAAGGCTTTAAAAAGCAAGTGTCTCTCTGGGGTCCTGATGAATGCAGCCACGGCAGGTGGTTCAGAGCGGGTGTGACTTCACCAGCGGTTCGTGCGCTCTGCCAGGTTGGAGCAGAAGTGCTGCTGTCCCCTGAACCCAGCGAGGCTGTAGGTCGTGCGGTGGGGAACCCTTTACTGGAGGGAGCGGATGCAGAGCACGTTCTGTACAAGACTTTCCATAATAATCAATTCTGTAAAAAGATAATTAACCTTGGTGCTACTTCATAGAATCATTAGGTTGGAATAGACCTTTGAGATGAAATCAAGTCCAACCGTTGACCCGACACCACCGTGCCCACTAAACCCTGTCTAGAAGAGCCACATCTACACGTGTTTTGAACACCCCCAGGGATGGTGACTCCACCACTTCCTTGGGCAGCCAGTTCCAGTGCTTCACCACTGTTTTGGTAAAGGAATTTTCCCAAATGTCCAGTCGTGTCAGGCTTTTTCTGGTTGCACAGCAAAGCGTCTTGACCCCCTGGTGCTGAGAATGAGTGATAATTGTGCATCATCTACCAGGACTCCCAAACTAGCTTTCTGGGCCAGAAGGGGGGTGTGGAGGTACAGCTCTTACTAAGTGGGTTTGTTACCAGTTTTTATTTACCATCGATGCAGCTGTTTTCCTGTGGGGCCGCTGCGATGCAGTTAAAATGGGATGTGCAGTCCTCTTGAGATATATCGTGATATTTTGGTTGTAGTTAATCTTTTTAACACGTGTGTCTTTCCACAGTGCTCCAGTGCATCAAAACTGATGCAGTCCCATGGAATAGGCACTCAAGTGCTGTTGACTGCAACAGAGTTCAGTTACCTCTGTCCAGCCCTTATTAATCAGATCGATGGCAAATACTGCATAGTCCATGCAAGTAGTGAAAAAGCTGAAACCCCTCCAAAAAGTTATTCTCTGCAAATAGGTAGGTTTTGGGGTTTTTTTAACGTTGAATGAAAGCTTACTGGAGACCCATTTATTTTTGTTATAAATTTGAGAAACGTATTTCAAAGTTGAAAGAAGTTTGTAGTTTTCTTTGGCACCCGACCATGTCTAGAGGGAAGTCTTTGTGGCATACCATATGTTAGCATCCCAGGAACCAAATGATCAGGAGTGTTTGATAACAGGAATGTTAAACGAACAAAATCTCATAGAGCTGTTACTTATTTTTGGTTCTTTTTTTCCCTTTTTTTTTTTTTTTTTTCACCAGCTTGGATTGGTGGCTTTATATCCATCTCCGTCATCAGTTTTCTTTCCTTACTGGGTGTTATCTTGGTACCGCTGATGAATCGCGTGTTTTTCAAATTTCTTCTAAGTTTTCTCGTGGCGTTGGCTGTGGGGACTTTGAGTGGAGATGCGTTCTTACATCTCCTTCCGCATGTAAGTAGTGATTACTGTTTCATTCTTGATCTCAAAGCAGAGAATTTGACACCTGTCTGTACTTCTTAGTGATAATTTTAATCCCTGTTAATTAATGCCTACTTGGTGAGTCAGTCCTCAGCCTTGTAAGGTAGATTATTGGATGGAAAGGTTTCTTGTTTGGAACTGCTTGTGTTACTCACTTCACAGTGCTTACAGTGTAAGAGCTCCACACCATTATCCCTCAATCTGCTTCCTGTTCTTAGTCATATATACTGCCAAATCACTCGTCGTTCCTTGCGGGCAAGAACTTTGCATAAATGTTTTTAGTCACTTACTGCAGTGCTGCCTCTTTCTTTTTGCAGTTTAATGAACTTTATAGAGAGCGAAAATCACTCACTCCACGCTTTAAACGTGGAATAGATAATCCACTGTGTTCTGTTACCAGCCACTTACATTGGTTGCTTATCCACTGTAATTTTATCACAAGCAAGCATTTCTGAAGTCCTGGGAGAACATGACTGTGGAGCTACACATTGCTGTTATATAATGTGGACAATGAAACTGGAATATGATTGCTAAATTTCTACCTTTCTTGAAGCTCTTAGACATTCCCTCTGCCCTGTTTCCCCTCCTCCCCTCCCCAAAGGTAACTTGTTCCAGCTTTTAGGTAAGATGGATGAAAAGGACTGCCGAGTTCATGGTGGTTTCTGAGCCCTGCTGTAATTCATTGTGTTCTTTTTCCTTTCAGTTATCTTTGCACTTGCTATGTGAGGTTATGGAAATCTAAACATGTGTGAGCGAGGTGTCCTAGAAGTTTTTTGATTTTGAATGCACCGGTAGCCAGTGAGGAGGAGAAGAATGTCAGACTTCCTTTAAAGAAGGAAATTACTGCTTAGTTCCTTGTAGAAAAAAAGTGTTTGACACCTATGAGCTGTCTTAGGTGGGAAAGTAATTGGTATGCTGGCTGTGACTTCTGCTTAATATGCAGTTTACCTGACGGTGTCAGGGGTTTTGGTGGGGGCAGTTGTACACCTTGTATTGAGCAGTGCGCACGTAGCTTCGGCGAGAGGGTGAACGCCAGGCCTGCTCTCAGTCCTTGCGCTGTTTTTTCGTGTCAACAGATTTCTTTGTAATTGTTTGAGATTGTATCCAGAGTGTTTGGATGTGCTTGGGGGGGCTGGTGGGTGAAAAGCTGGA